TTCTTTCGTTCTCGCTCCCTCCGATCTCTCTCCTTTCTCCTTTCCTTCTCTCTCTCTCCCTCTCCCTTTCCCTCTCTCCCTCCGCCCGACTCCGGTTGTCTTCCTCTCCTTCCCGTGTGGCTGCTCTCTCGACTACACCACGGCTCATTCGCTCTCGGTACTATGTCTACGTACTCCCGTACCCAGGAGAGCGACGCGTGGGCTCTTCTGGCACTGAAGTCGGCGCCGGCCAGCCCGTCGAAGATGCAGTGGAACCCGGAATCGAACAGCGCGCCGATAGCGCGGATCGAGGCACGCGAATTCGAGTACATGGTTAGGCAACGGCGCATCACGATCGGCCGCAACAGCAGTAAGGGTGAGGTCGACGTCAACATGGGCCACTCCAGCTTTATCTCACGCCGGCATCTCGAGATCTTCTACGAGCACCCATTCTTCTTCATGATGTGCAACGGCAAAAACGGCGTGTTCGTCGACGGGGTGTTCCAGCGCAAGGGCGCCCCTGTCTTTCAGTTGCCAAAGACGTGAGTCCCGCAAACGTTATTTATTTATATTGTTCGACCGCGCGCCGACGAGATAATCCGGCAGCGGTACATTTTTTGGTCACGCTGTAAACTCGTTGCGACGTGATGTGATGTTCTTGGAATATCTATTATCTTGGAATGCTCGTCACTTCGCTCGTAAATGTAACGAGAGAGGACCGGGTCCTAAAAGTAGTCGTGACCCTGATGATTGTAAGGGGCGATTATGTAAAAATGGATGGATGATTAATATGATGATATTATATATATATATATATATATATATATATATATAATATATATTCCTTGCATTAATAATTTTTCTAATCTTAGTGACCAAACTAAAAAATCTCCAAATCTTGTTAATACTAATCAGCCATGAATATAATTTTTTTAAGCACTTTAGTGAAATTTACATCAGATATATACTTCTTCAGGTAATAAATTTGTTTTATGATTTTTTTCATTGCTGCTAAAATGCTTAAATACCAATGAGTTGATTTGACATTATTATAAATGGTGACGCTTGCATAAGATATTTTGTAACAATGGTTGCTTTGAATGATTGTTGCAGATGTCAATTCAGATTTCCAAGTACAACGATAAAGCTGATGTTCCATTCACTCGTCGATGAACAGGAACAGAGTAACATTCGCGTGCCCTCTCCACCAAAGCAACGAGCGCCGTTACCTCCTCTGCGAATAAACATACCGGACACTGGTTATAGCAGTCCATTCCCGTCACCCACAGGTACGATAAGCGCTGCTAACTCTTGTCCGGCTAGTCCGCGCGCCGGCCAAGGCAAAAGAAATATTTCGGCGGACCTGCAGATGGTTGCGGCTTATGCCGCTGCTGTGGCGAATGACTCGCAGAATTCTACCTTGGATAGGCATAACTTGGAGAGACACGACAGTGGGCAAGGCTCTAGTAGACAGATAAGCCCGGAACCAGCTGATGCGCGTTACCGCGGCGGTAACGGTTCGGGACCGAACGGTACAGCGCCGCACTACAGTCCACCAAAGGATGATTCAAAACCGCCGTTTTCGTACGCGCAACTGATCGTTCAAGCGATTGCCTCCGCGCATGACAAACAACTTACCCTATCGGGCATTTACTCTTATATCACTAAGCACTATCCGTACTACAGAACCGCGGATAAAGGCTGGCAGAATTCTATACGACATAATCTGTCGTTGAATCGTTACTTTATCAAAGTTCCAAGAAGTCAAGAAGAACCTGGGAAGGGCTCTTTTTGGAAGATAGATCCCCAATCAGAATCTAAACTCATCGAGCAGGCATTCAGACGAAGACGGCAACGCGGTGTACCTTGTTTCCGCGCGCCATTTGGAACTTTGTCGTCAAGGTAATGTCGATGGAAATTTCGTGTACTGTTTTGTATTACGTATATTGATCGATAAGTCATTTAACATTATGTATGATCAGCAGAAGTGCTCCAGCTTCGCCCTCTCATGTTGGGATCAGTGGATTAATGACGCCCGAGTGTTTAAGTAGAGAAGCTTCTCCTGGACCAGAATCGTATCCAGATAACTCGGTCCCCTCTCCAGCCGGGCAGCTCGCAACGAGTCAGTCGGCACCTGGATCTCCCGGGCATCCGTATACATCGTCTCAGACGACTCATAAGGGACGTTTGATGCAGACAATAGTAACGAATGGTGTCAATAGTGATACAGGAAGAGAAGGTGAGTTGTTTTTTTCTTTCCATCTAATTTTTTCCAAACAAATCGATAATCAAATCTGAAAATTGATTACTCTCTCATTTCTCCGACATTCTTATTGAGAAAAATATCATCTCAGTTAGAAATTGAATCTGGATTATCCACTTTTAAGATAGATGTTTTATCTTTTGACCACTAAAACATGTAGTGATATTTATCGCAATAATCAAATAAATGAAAGAAGAACATATGCCACATAATAAATAAATGTAATAAGCCGAGATAAATTTTAAATAATAGGATAATAGGATAATAGATTACATTGCTTGGCAGGATGAAGTCTTAAGTGTTTTATAATTTTTCATTTTTTTCTAATTGAATTTATATAAATTTAGAACTGCTTATATTGTTATTATATTGTTACATGCCATTACTATTAATAGATGCAATTAGATTCAATGCAGCAGTTTAAAGCTATATTCCTAGATCCTAATTCTCTTTTTCTTTGAGAAATATATATGGCTTGTTTTTTGAAAACAGAAAAATACTTGGTGCCTGGGAACACTGTAGAGGACCATTCTTTATCTCCAGCTGGTCAATATAGTCCAGCTCCTGTTATTGTACAAACAACATATAATTACAGGTACGATTTGCATTCGTAGATCTCATGTTACTTTCTTGATTTAATTAAATATTCGAGACTTGATCGATGTTCATAATATGATAATTCATAATATGAATTTTTTATTTGTAAAGTGGAAATTTTATCAGCCCCGATGCTGGCGTCGGGGGGATTAGCAAACGTGCTCATGAAGAGTCGGATAGCTCGCCTGGTTCACCGGCTCCGCTCGCGATCGTCGAGAGCCCCGAGCCTCCTGAGCATCAGCCATCGCAATCCAAACGTCAACGTATCCACGAAATGGATGATCATTGAACTGATACATCTATCATCCTGTTACGTAGAACATTACATTTACATTATTTGCCTGTCGTGGAACACATACACATAGACACATAGACACATAGACACATACACATACACACTGCAAATTTCATTTTTATTTTAACCGCATAACCCGCTTTAGACTGCACATAATCGAGATCGAGCGTCAGTTCTATGTCTTTCGCGAAGAATCGCGAAGAACTGTTGTGTGTACGAGTCCGCAAAAGAAATCAATTACTGAAAGAACAATGAGCAGACACTTTTCCTGTCCTTCTAGACTTCATGTTTTAACATGATTTTATCAACAACAGTCAATGTACATAAGATATCTATATACTTTATTAAATGCTTTCTCTTTATGACTTGTTAACTTCGGCAGAAGATATAGTATATATGTATATGGAGCTTATTTGATCGGAGGTCATCCAAAATAGTAACAGCAGCTATTGCGCTGACACATCAAATTGCAATAATGTGATGCGGTAACGTGTGCCATTCAGCGTTTAGCCGTTATATTAAATAGACAAAAGAGAAGAAGAGTGTTAACCAGTGAGAATGTTAATCAGTGTAATTCTATCGAATGCGAGAATGCGATTTATCCATAGCTGAATCCGCTGGCCGACATCCATTTCACTCGTGCGATTTGTTTTCTTTTTTTTTTTCCCGTATTATCGCTTGCACCGACTTGGCGTCGTCATCGCGACTAATGAAGATTAACGATAGGCAAAACGATAAGAGAGAGAAAATAATAGATTATTATTACAATTATAGCATTCTTAATTTAAGACGCTCAATCGAATGTTCTATCTGAGATTAAGATAAGACCTGGGATTTTAAAAAGATCAGTATCGCGAGAGAGAGAGAGAGAGAGAGAGAGAGAGAGAGAGAGAGAGAGAGAGAGAGACGAGAACGAACGAATGGAAGGAGAAACGAAATTTATTTTTCGTCACCTTTTGCGAGGCGAGCGAGCGAGCGAACGAACGTTTATCTGAAACGTTATTTTTCTATTAGTCGGGAGATAAATACGAGCATAACAAAAGGTGGTTTTGGATGATAATGGTAGGATGGACTACACGCTGTGTGTATACAGTGGTTGATACACATACGTATCACGAGCGACGTATGTCACTATTATTATACATATACGTACATACGTGCGCGAGAGATAAGCTCTCCCGTACCCGCGAGGCGCGCGAGCACGCAGACCGCGTGTGCGTGTGCACGTGCGTCGCGGAGGATCGATTATGTTTAACAGGCACACATGCCGAGCACAGACACACGTATACATCCATACACAGACACCTCTCCTTCGATATTACACACACACACACACACACCACACACGACGTGCATGTATGTGTGCGTATGTATAATAACGCAATAAAATTAATACTACATTAAAAGTCATTCAGTCGTGTGTTTGATCTTTTCTCCTTTTCTTTTCCCTCTTTATCTCCACGTGCTTTCTCCCGGCGACAAAAAAATTTGGGTCATCGAATCGGATTCAATTGCCTCGGGAAATCAAGGAAATCGTGCTATCGATTCAATTAAAGTTTCAAAAAGTTCCCGATTTTTTATCTCGCGTCGCCCGGCTCATCGCCAGTTGATTGCATTTCGCATTTCTCTCTCTCTCTCTCTCTCTCTCTTTTACATTTGTACGATCGGTCGTCTCCCGCCGCTAGATGTCTTCGCGTTTTCTCCACACGAGCGAGTCGCGTTGTTATGGCTGACTATGGCACTATGAAAATAATCGCTGTCTCCCGCGACTCGTCGCAACGATTAATCAACGATCGCTTGAAGGAGTACTTTGATCATGGATCCAGGACGCTGCGACGCCAACGTCTACGATCTCGTCACGCAGTTGGTCAGGCACACGTTGCGAAGGAATCGCGCCGAGGATGAGAATGCCTATATGCCGCCCGTGAGCGACGTCAAAACAGTAAAGAGTTTTCGCTCAAGGGCTTACGAGATACTGTTAAATAAGAGTAACAAGACATACAGTCAAGGTACGTCTGTCTCAGATCACTAGGATAAAATTGTATGAAAAAAAGAAATTGAAATATGTGGGTTTCCTTTTAAACGGTAACACTAACAATCATAATTGCAGAGAACACAGCAGATTCTGAGATTGATCCTCTGGTGGAGATATTGAAGCATGCTTTTGTATTGAAATTGTCTCTAAGACGCGTGTCGGAGGCGAAAGAATTAGAAAATTTGATAAACGAGCTGTATGCTCGGGAGGATAACTTGGAAGTTGTGACTCCTGTTTTACAATTGCTGATAGAACTTAAAAGCTTTCATACTGATATAGGAACCTCACTGGTATCTACATTATCTATTTGCTCTATTTGGTTTTCAGAATTTATGTCAAGGCAATTAATGCAAATCAAATCTTACTTAGGATGTATTTCATTATGGCAAAAACAATCCCTTCCTGCCCGAGGATATTATGTGTACGAATGGTGTCCCGATGTTTCAAACATATCCTATGGAATCCTTTTTCCTACCAAACAGGTTTGAGGCCATGCTGGGCATTCGTCGAACCTGTACTAGGCAGGATACATCAACTAATTTTGTTAGCAGAATATCTTTCGAAGATCAATATGTATCAAAATCCATATTAGGAATTCAAACAATTAGGTATGATATTGATTAAATATTCCTACGTGTGAGTGTATATATATATATATATATATGTATATCTGGATTTTTCTATGTATTGTTTTAGATATAATAATACTATTAAAACTCCCAGCATATCAAACTATAGTGAGAATACAGCAAAACAATGTAATATGATTATTCCCTTCTCAAATATTATGGTAAAACAGTCTTGTGTCTTATTTAATATATATATTGTGACCACTGCCCTTAATTTGTGGATCGCAATATATACATATATATATTTATAATATATGATTTGTGTTTTTTTCTTCATTAGATTGAGCAAACAAATAAGCTATATTTATCTACACAAAGATTTATGTCAAATATGACTTTACCCTGCGAATGGATAAAACCTATAGATAATCAAAATCGTTCGTATGCTGTGCCGTCGGACTCCAATTGTAATTTTATGAACGAATCAAAAAGTGTTGGAAGCGATGTTGATTTAATATGGAAAGAAATGCTTTCCGGCGAGCCTGTGTCCAAGTTACGCACGTGGGAATCTCTTGGAGCACCAGAGTGTTACAAACAACCGCTATTTGTCACAGATCTGCCGGAGAGCGCGTTACACTTAGCGAGGATAAGACAAACAAGTATTTTATCACTGCTGCCAAAAAAGGTAAAGATGGCAACGCTTGCGCAAATATATCATGCAAAAATTGTTTTTTTTATGTTACAGGCAATGCATTCCATATCCTTGATGCAAGAAGTTCCGCTTGAGAAATTCTTGTCGGATGTTAAATTGTTGTTATTTGGTATAGATTCAGATTCCTTTAGATACGATAGTCTGGTACGTGGGTTTAATGAATCACGCTAAATCGGCGCTTTGCATATGTCATACATAATAATAGTCGTATTGCAGACGGGTTTTAGACTGGAAGGAAATATTACTGTGCACGGCATAAGTTTCGAGATATTGGAAGCCACTTGCCAGGACGCGATTTGCTGGGGCAATAGTTTCAGATCCTTATCGCACCTCGTCACACCCGACTCTCAAACGGGTAAATTGCAACAGGATGGCCTCATATTTAAGGTACATACGATTCTCTCGAGCATTGTTTTTATTATACATTATTTGTTTTTATTATATATGTATGATTGTAGGCGATGTGCAGCAACATCAAAGAACTTCTTCTGTACTATCGCTCGGCGTTGCAAAGGATTCTTAACCGGCACGAATTTCGCGGATTGTTGAATCTGTTTAAATATATTCGTCCGCTTGCATATTTGATTGTGGAGGTCGCGAGGCTGTGTGGTTGTAACACCGATCAGTGCATCTTGGGCGGTGGAAGTGGAATTCTCACGCACATTTACAAAGAAGTAACCAAGGTCACCAATCCGAAAGTCGCGTTGGTGCTTTATTCCATATTAAAATCGTGCTGTGAGGTTTACTTTCGGTGAGATAATGTCATTCCTCCGTTTTTGTACTCAAAAGACAAAAGGCAAAGATTGTTTCATTGACTAATGATTTTTGTAGATTATTACAAAATTGGTTGTTCGAGGGAACGTGCGATGACGTTTATGGAGAATTTATGATTCAGGTACGATCGCACTATCTGCGGAAAAGAGGACGCAAGTTTTGGACAGAAAGTTTCGCAATCGATACCGAATCGGTACCTGGTTTCTTGTCCGAACTGTCGGAGTCGATACTGCAATGCGGAAAGACGCTGCGACTTTTAAAAATTTGCAATCCGAAGGTTATTAATTTTCATCATCGAATTGTTGATTTTTAATCATGAATCAATGAAAAAAAATCTAATGTTTATATCAATTTAGAATCCCGTATGCAATGTTTCTTTCAATGCTCAACCGGAAGTGAGGGTCTGCCTGAGCGTGTCCATGTTGCGAGATCAGTTGCTGAGATGTCAAGAATACGAATGCAAAGGCGAAGCGGCGCTGGGACCAGTTGTATCTCTTTTATCCGCGATTCAGGATGAAAAGAAAACGGAGAGGGAAACGGCCGAACTCGTGATTCGCGCACAACAGGAAACGCTATCAAGACTGGACAGTAATATTCTTATACCTTCAGTTTTTATCGCGTCGTAAATTAAGAATGTGCATATTTAATAACTCCCGTGATATTTCTCTTTAGAGCAACGTAAAGAGCTTATCATGAAGGCCGCGCAGAGTAAACGGGAATTACTGCAGGAATTGAAGCAACAGGCGGAAGCGAGTGCCTTGATAAAAGAAAGGGAAAAGGAGATCGAATTGTTAGCTGATAAATTGTTGCTGGAAAAGATTAATCGAGAGCAGGAAGAAATGCGTGAGCAACAACAGATCGAGCGGTGAGGCTGAATAATTTAAACGAAAGTTACAAATTTTCTGGAGGTTAATCGCTCCAGGTTTTTAATTATAAATATTTATAACATCTTAAATCATCTTGTTTGTTTCAGGGAACATCTTATAAATTACTACGACAGATTAGGTGCTGATGTAGAGAGGAATCGTGCGCGATCCATTTGGCGAAAAACGAGAATGAGCCATTTCGAAAGACGAGTAGAATTCTTGAAATCTGTAAAGAGACTTGATGAAGAAAATGTTGGCGCGCTAAGTTTTGATGAAAATATAATCGGTACCGATGAAAATATTGTTGATATTGACGAACGAAATAAAAACACCATTCCCGAAGAGGAAACGGTATCCGATCAAGATGAAAATAGTAATTTTGCAGAAAACGAATCGTCAGACATAGCTGTATCAGACGTTTCTGATCAGATGAATTCTGAAAAAAATCTTGTGACTACTGTAGATTCGGATGTTCCGCCTATTGAAAGTCGTGAACCCGCTAAAGATACTGAATCAAAAGAAACTACGATAAATGAAAAATCCTTCAAAACAACGGATACACAGAACATAGAGTTGCCGCAAAAATCTTTATCGTTAGATTATAAAATCTACAAGAAGAATAACGAGAGAAGTAATCTGCAGGATTTCCTGCGTGATGAAGCAATGAAAAACATCAATACTATTATGAATGGCAATAGCAAAAAGACGAGTGCGTTCGATAGTCGTTTAAATAATATTTTGGAAGCCGACGAGGTGACCGAAAGAATTATCGGTGCTATTAATAGGCCTAAATCCTTAGCTATTGAGAAGATAGATAACATGACCACGGCACAAAGCAACAAACTTAAAGTCCTGATGCAGGAGTACGGTATGACTCCGAACAACAACGAGTTCAGTACAATACTCACGAATAATCAAAGGATTATCAATTGCACAAATACTAATGGCAATAATCAGATACTAATTGATACTATTGACGAATTGAATTCAGACGATATGAAGGAAAACGTGAATAACAATGTTCTTTCCACAATCAAATTATCAGAGGAAACGATGAACACGCATGAACCTACGAATGACGAAGATTGCTCAAGTAGGACTAACAATGCAAATAACGAAGCACGAGAGCCGTTATCAAATAATACGCAGCAGCAGCAGAATATAGATACGCCAATGTCGTGTACGACCGACAATCTCACTACATTATCGATGCATACTCCTTTGTCACAGGTACCAAATAGCTACGATATATTTGCTATGAACGCCGGTCAGGAGATCTCGTCTTTATCCGATATGACAAAGTCGATCACGGAAGACACATGCTTCGAATCTCCGATGAGCAATAATTTCAAATTACCGAATCTGTTCGGCATTAGCTCCGAACTCCGAAATGTAAAATCAGCTGCAACTTCGTCTCTTACCATAGCCGATGTCGAAATGATCGACCATACATCGCTCCAAGTGTACTTAGAGAAATCCATCATCATTCCTCTGCAGATACAAACACGGCTGGTTAACAATGCGATCATTAAATATCTGGTGAACGAGCACAATATGCTTTCGCACTTACGCAGTTTACGCAGTTATTTCTTTCTGCTGAACGGCGAATTTGCAAAGAGCCTAACGGATTCTCTTTATTCGCGACTTTATACGATATCTGCGCCAATCGAACTCTTCAATTCCGCCACTCTCACGAACCTCTTGGAAAAGGCGTTGATGAATTCATTTAGTAACAATTATGCCAATTCGGAACTTCTGAGTCTTTCCGCTGTCGACAAACCATGCCAATTATATGTATGATCACTTTAAATAGTTTTCAGTTGTGAAAGAATTTTGCTTTGATATTAATATGATTTTTTTATTGTAGATTTCAGATCCGAATGTCTTAGAATGTCTTTGCCTCAATTATAAAGTATCATGGCCGTTGAATATAATCTTAGATGATACGATGATGCTGCAATACAGCAAAGTATTCAAGTTTTTAATCATGATTGGCAGGATGTCGTGGGTGTTGCAGGAAGATTTTAATATAATGAAGGTGGAGCGTAATAACATAGTTAATTCAGAACAATATCACAAGGTATATCATTCATCACAAATATTGGAGAAATACTAAGGAATCGATTTAATCGATTTCATTTGTTTGCAGTTACAGTTGTATAGGCACTCCATGACCCAATTCATGAACGCTCTTCACAATTATCTGACATGTAGCGTGTTGCACGCGAGTTGGAGCGAGTTCGAAAAGGATCTGCAGAATTCTCGGACGATAGATCAGATCTATCTCTCGCACATGAGCTATATCAAAAGAATACTTTCGAGGTAGGTAGCAATCAATTGATTTTCCTCAAGGCACGTAGCTCACAACGTTACTTATGATTTCAGGTGTATGCTCAACACACGCGGAGAAAAGATGCGCGTCTGCTTGAGTAACGTCTTCAAGATCATACTCAAATTTCACAATCGTCTGAGATCACAGGCCTGGATCGTTAGCAGTACGGGTAGGTACAGTCATCCGAATTTCAAGAGCTTAGAGCAAATGTACCAATCGTTCTGCGAATGGCGGATATACATGGCACACGTCGCGCACAAACTGGCTACAAGCGGGTATCAACCGCATTTAACGCATTTTCTCAACGCTTTGAATATAAATCACATGTACGATTTAACGACGAAACAACAATAGCACTGTGATTGAATTCCGTCGTCCATATTCTCTTTTACTATCAATGTATTGAATGTAAAAGAATTATGAGTAATCTCTCATTGATGTCGAAATTAAAGATAATTTAATTTTCGAAAAAGAGATAAGATATTCTTCATATTTATTTATTTAGCAAAACGAATAATAATTAAGTAATAAGAAATCACTGTGTTTATTACATAGATATCGATGATACATTCGCTATATCGAGTACTTTAATGCAACGACTGCAAAGACCGTTTTTGTCCAATTCAGGATGCCTCCTGCACCTTTGGCAGAGCATCTTTTCGATATTATGCAGCTCGACTTGCGGCTCGCTTACCGTAGATGATTCTATTAGTATAATTGAGGAGAGTTGTAAAATATCGCACAACTCTGACGTGGAGGATTCCCGATCTTTCTGAAGCAGCTGTAAAAATAAGCAGATACGATTTATAGTACTCACATTTAACATCGCGAATTAGACTAACGCAATTGGCAATTTATGGAAATCTTGGAAATAAAATTCCTCACCGAAAGCGATTCATAATCATCTTTAGGAGCGGTTATGATGCCCGACAATTCCCACGTGTTACGTTCAGCCAATGTATTCACTTTGCCTCTCAAATTCAGAGCTGTCTCTACATGCTTAGCGATTTTTGGTTGATGCCAGGTTTCTGGTGCCTTATATTCACTATGATACAACGGCACTGATGCTGTAAAATGATATGCGATAACGCAATGTGGAACGCTTTCCTTAATTAAAACGCTTACCCAAATTTTCAGGATGATATAGCCACACTTCTTCCGCTAAATGCGGGACGATTGGCGCGATAGATCTCACGAATACAGTCAGGGTTGCGCGTGTAACTTCTATCGCGGCTAGACGCGTCGGAGACGCTGCTTCGTCGCAGTAGAGTCTGTCTTTGATCAAATGACAATATACCGGCGATACAGTATTCATCAGGAAATTTAATATTAATTTACACGCGTGGTGATACACGTAATTGTCATACAAGTTTTGAATCTGCAGAACAGAAAATCAATGTCACATATGCTGCGACTTTTTAAATATCATCACGTTTTTTTATTACCTCCTTGTTATATTGGTGCAGAGCATGCAACATATATTTATCGAGATAAAGGTATTCTGGTTCAACTATGCTTTCCTCGCTGTACGAGTATAAAGCACCTAACAGGAATCGCAAGATTAAACGTAATTTCTGTATAGTTTCTTGACTCTCGCGCAATAATGTTGTCGTAACCGGTATCTGGCTGTGCTGGCATGCGTGGCTAGCTACCCACCACCTATCGATTTCCTTTTTAATAAATCTTGAATTTCAATTCCAAATCGCAATTAGCGAATATATATTTTCAACTAACCTCAGAGTATCGATGCCATACGCTGGATCTTTATTCAAATTTTCTCCACCTTTGACAATTATTTCAGGATTAACGACATTTCCAACTGACTTCGACATTTTTGAAGCTTTGTCATCCACAGCAAATCCATGCGCGAATAGCGCACTTTGGAAAAAATAATATAAATATGTAAATACGTATGAGAATTGGTATTTAATTTTATACTGTGTGAGCTACCTGTAAGGGGAATGTTCTTGAAGAGCAATGGATGTTAGCAATGATGACTGAAACCAACCGCGAAATTGATCCATTCCTTCTAAATATAAATCTGCTTTATGTTCCGGCAACACGGCCGACCATGAGAGACCGCTATCTAACCAAATATCCATGATATCCTTTAAGAAAGTAATCATGCACTTTGCAGTCATGCATTACTGACATTCGAGATCCTATTAAAAGTGATTTATCAATTCTACATACGGTTCCTTTTTCCAAATCCTTTATATCGTCATTTAATTCTTGTCGAAGCTCGCGACCAATTAACTTTTCGGTCGATAGCTCCCACCAATAATCAATACCATATCGGTCCATCAATCTGCACAATCTCTCAATCCATTTTCTACAATACGGAAATGTGTATATTGTAATATACACAGTGTGTAATTCTATTTCCTATCGTAAAATTATTATTAATCGTATTATTAATCAATAAAGTTACCTGCTCGTATACGTATCACCAGTTCGTTTATTGTGCAACACTGGTATCGGCGTACCCCAGGATCGTTGTCGGGAAATGCACCAGTATGGTCGCTGTTTAAGTTGTGCGATTAACGCGTTCAAATACGATGTCCGGTTCTGCGCCGGGTATATTGTTATATCAGCGATGCTGTCCTTGCGTAAAAAAGACATAAGCATAGGAGTGATGAATACATAGTAACATGTCACGTTTCATTCAGAAAGACTTGATCGACTTACAATCGCCTTTTCCTTTATAGATTTTATATCGATAAACCATTGATGACTCGCGCGGATAATTATGGGCTTCTTGGTTCGCCAGTCGTACGGATAGCTATGCGTAATCGTGTCAGTATGTAATACATTTTCACCGAGACACTGCAAAACTTTATTCGCGCCATTATCTAAGACGTCCAAGCCGGAGAACTCATCGCCTGCTTCTTTGGCAAAACATCCGTTCTCGTCTATCAAAGATAGCTAGAAAGATAAATCATGCGATGTGATCAATTGGATTAATATAAATCGAAATTACAAAAAATGTCTTACCACCGGTATATTATTTTCAATCGCGATGAGAAAGTCCTCGGGACCATGCGCGGGAGCTGTGTGAACCAATCCAGTACCGACATTAGTTGTAACATGTTGCCCAGGTAAAAATGGTAAACGTTGTTTAGTAATAGGATGAAAATACTTTGCTTCATTTAATTCCTGCCCTGTTAAAATTTTTTTTATTACTCAGTTACTAAAAATATATGATATAAAGTAGCTAAATGTAGCTAAGTATTACCCGTAATGGTCATAATTAGTTTTAATGGACCAATCTTCTGTTCAATATTCGTTAAACACTCTTGTGCAAGAATATACAGATTTTTCGAATTGTCCTCTACAATGCAGTAACCAATATCGTTGGAGAACGCTATGGCTTGATTAGCTATTAACGACCACGGTGTAGTGGTCCAGATGAGTGCATAAAGTGGTTTATTCTGAATATCCTTTAATCTTGGGGGTAATGCTTGTGTGTCTAGTTGCATGCGTATGATAACGCTTGTGCTCTCGTGATTCTCGTTGTATTCCAATTCTGATTCTGCTAATGCTGTTCTACGATCATCGAAGAGGAAACATTTAGATTAATTTAGCCTATTTTTTCCAAAGTAGATAAATTTTAATCTCGATTTATCTTAATTATTATTTTAGTTTTTAAACATTTGAAAAAAATAAAGAGCCGATTAAAGTTCAGCTATGTTGACTTATATCTTAATAGAAATGGACATAAAAGAACTTTTTTAGAACGCAGATATTTCTGTACCTGGAGGATGGTGACCAATGCACTGGTTTGAAGGCTCTGAAAACGAGCCCTTTGTCGTACAGATTTATGAATTGTTGCATTTGATTCTTCACATACGAGGCATTATTCGTGAAATAACAACCTGATTCGTTCCAGTCAGCCACAATGCCCCATGACATGAAAACCTGTCGTTGTTTTGCTATAGCATCACTCGCATATTTTCTGGCTGTAATATAGTTAGACATTTTAGAAAAAACATAATTCTGGAAATGCTGTATTGGATATTTAGGAATATCTAGGTATTTCAACACACCTCTACGGCGAATTTCTAAAGGAGTATCTTCCTTTATATCACTAAGTACTTTTTGTTCAATTGGTAAACCATGACAATCCCAACCTGGAAGATAATGTACCCTTCTACCTGTTATAATCTTATTCCTTAGTGTAATATCTTTAAGGACCTAGGAGTACAAAAATAATTCCTAAATATTAATATAATAAAAAAATATATTCAAATAAATAATACGAAATTCTTTATTAATAAAAACCTTATTAATGGCATGACCCATGTGCGGTTCTCCATTTGCATACGGTGGTCCATCATGTAAGATAAAATCCGGTCCTTTCAGATTTTTCCTCTGCCAATTATACAATTCCAAGAAGCCGCATTTCTATCACGAAAACGCAGAACATTTATATAAATTATCATTGTCTCAGAACTATGTACAAAATTCTATTTAAATAAAAATACATAAGAGCCATCGTGAACGTTCGTGAACTTTGACTCATTCGGAATGCAGATGTTTCGAGATTGGAGGTCAAATGTAGTAAAAGAGGGAAATGAAAATAAAAAGTGGAAATTTACTTCTATTAAATAACTGTCCATCTCCACTCGTTTTTTGCCAGCGAGCCGCGCCGGGAAGTTGGTCTGCGGCAGTAGCACTGTTTTCGTGTAGCTTTGTTTCGCGGCACTCTTCATACCTCTCAGCCACAATACGCGGCAGAACTCGGCATAAGTCCGCAACGTTAACCCGGACGTCTTGAACAATCGCCTCATCCTCGCGCTAAATACTGACATCGTTTATAAATATATATAAAAGAAACTACACTTTTCCCGATGATCCTAACCTTAACTTCTACGCCAGCACGTCACGCCATTTTTAAATACCTGACACCCAATCGATTTCGCACGCATGCGATATGTCGTTTGAAGTCAGCCATTGGTATCGCGAGATATCGATTATTCTCCGAGATTTTGAAATCTTTTTAAGATATTTCGATTTTGCGAGAAAGCTTTCAACCATTTCATTGAATGTAGCGAAAAGATCTCCATCGATTTTTTTTCTATCTTATATTGATATTATTTTGTGCATTGTGTAAAAGCCTGATGCTATGATAATAAATTTATTTTAATAATGCAATATATTATAGAGATTAGAATCGTGAAATGTATGTATATATGCTTGCTATATAATTTTGTTTTCATTTTGTCTGATTGATATTGTCTGATATTTTGTTTTGTGTTTTTAAAATGTTTCTTACATCAATTTTATTATTTTGTATATAGATCAGAGTTTGAATAATAAAATATTTTTTTATTTTCAGATAATTTCCTTTTGTAACATATGTATTTGTCAAAATAATAATTGTAAATAATAATTTTAATGAGAAAAACTAACAATTACCTTATGTTAGATAAATATATATATACATATATGTATGTAAATTACGGCATATATAATATTTAATTTAACCATCACTTTTTAATAGAGAAGCGAATAATCATGTGTTTACATTTATCTGTGTATTCTAATTGAGCGTATGTCTTCTTAACTTGATGTCACGTTAACGAAATTGTTATTCTCTTCTCTCCGACTGTCTTTCTAAGAAGATATTACCTGCAAGATAAAAAGGAGATTACACTTATTTGTCAAACTTTTAATTTCAATAATCTCCAATCAATTTTCAATTTGTATCAAAGGAAATCTTTGTTATTAACGTAAGTAATATTTTTGATTCTCAGATTATAAATATATATATTCTAGTGATAACTTTGTGTTGGTCAACAACTTTTATCTTTCGAGATTTTTCTCAACATATAAAATATTTATAACTTTTATAATAAAAATTTAATAATTAAAATGATGTGATGTCAGGTTTCTGTATAGAAAAAACTGAAGAAAATTTATGCTATTTTGGCAAAAATACCAGAAAATTGGGAAAGTTGCGAGAAGACAGTTATTGAAACTTACTAGATCTTTTTAAGATACATTAAATAGAAAATAGAAGGACTGATAATGATTTGGTGACGAGTTAAATATGACGACGAAAATATAAATAACGAGTTAAGTATAACGATGAAAATATAAGAAGACATAAGCTAACAATAGTAGCCCTTCGCTTCGATAAACACTCCTCCAGAATCTCGAGGAGCGATATTGACTTTTTACAATTTAACGTTTGACATTACATCAATTGTCTGAATACTAGGAATCTTTTTTCTTGAAGGATATGTATAGATTCAACATATCTGCACCGGGAACGGTATTCTTACACGGAGATACCGTGTTGGGATACAATGGACCTTGCATAGCAGCTGCCTTAGACATACGTACCAAGCTCCAATTCTCTTCGCTACCACCAAGAGTAGTACCGAACGAAATTATCAGAATAGAGTTTCAGAATCTGGAATTACATTTGGACATACCTTTAGAGGCATTTTTCGAACACTTTTATGATCAAAATATCATTCGTAAATTTTCATGTTACGAATTAAGAAATGTGATAGAAATGTTTATTGAATCACTAAACATTAATAATAGTACTTACGATCCCAAGAATGAGGAACACAAGCTATTTTTACAAGCGTTTTTATATCTGCTCATTCGTACAGCTTACGAAGAAGAAATGGAAATAACAGCTTCTATTATTGTGAAGCTGTGGACGGATTTGCCGACCATAAAGGATCTGGGAACTAGAACATCCTTCATAGTGTGCCTCGCGGCGTGCTTTTGGCGTTGGTCGCTTCTGCAAAAAGGCGTTGTCCGTTACAAATTTGATAGCGAAGATCATACGGAAATCAAGCTATATGCTTGGAATTGCGAGGAGATGATATACAACTCCCAGAGTACGATCAATAATTTTGTATCCGTGTATGGCACAATAACGGTGTTTGAAGATGAAAACACTGCGTTCACGTTGGATGGAATGCGACCTATGAAAATCCTGATGATCGACTCAAACATTAATCAGAAAATGGAAATGAATCAAACAGAAGAGATGAAGAACTTATGTCCATGTGTAGATTCAATTATGAGTAGTATCGCTGCTTTATCGAGTATATCTGCCGAAGCGATCAATGAGATTTTCGAAAAATCATTAATTATATCTAAAAATGAGACCAATTGGTTTCGTCTGTTACCGCTGGATAGCTACAAAACAGTATCGGTAAGTTTCATAATGCAAACGATGCGGCAACGCATATGAGGCGTTAACATCCCATTCTTTTCGTGTATCACGTGTGCGTTATGCGCAAAGGTCTTTTTTCCTTTATTTTACATTTCCAGTGCCATCAATATATATCTTCACGAAAATTTTTCAAAAAATTATGTAAAAAATTAGAGTTATACTTATTAAAATTAGAATCAATGGCATAGACGGCACCAAAATAGTATATCAGATAAAATTGAAATGACAGCGAATATATTAATATTATTTTATACTATACACGATGCTTACGTGGTTGCTATTTCAAGATTTCTGTATAAAATCATTTAATATAAACTCTAATCACATCTTAATTTCAGGCTTTCATCAATGTAAATCAAGGTTTACTGAAGGGACTAGGCATGTCGAATGGAAATATAGATATTATTTGTACAATTGTGCGAAAGTATTCACTCGGATGTAAAATCACGGGTAATGGTAGATATGTGTTCATTCTTCTATTACCAAACAGCACGGACATGGTCATCACTAAGCTAAAAAGTGAACTCACATATCACAATTTTCGCGTCGTGGAAACCACTATGTCTTGTGACGGAATTAGGGTTGAATAACTTGAAATTACTCACTATGAGGATTGTGAACTTTGTCTGATATTACAATATAAATTAATTATTATATTCAAGGTTGGATAAGTTAATGTTTTTTCAAGCTAAGTTATGTTAAAGATAATAATTTAATAATAATCTAACAAATTAACTAAATTAATTTAATTAACTAAATTAATTAAATTAGTTATCTAAATCTAAATTAATTAGATTAATTAGATTAATTAGATTAATTAGAGTAATAATAATTTAATTAACTAAGTTGACAATTTTATTGACAAAAAATTAATTTAAAGTTAAAATTAAATTAACTTAAGTTTATTTGAAAGCTATCTTAAGAAACTTTATTTACATTCAATTATAAAATGTCGCAATTTTTCAAAATTAGATTATTTTAAAGGATAAAACAATTATGAAATAAAACAAAGATTTTAAATATGAAATTAGAAATATGTTAAAAAATTAAAGTTAGTTTGAAAAATAATTGATTAAAATTAAAGATTAACGTTTAAAATTAAGTTAATTATTAATTAAAATTATTAATTTTTAAAAACTAAAAATTTACTTTTAACTTAACTTTTTATCTTTGTTACTTAACTTGTAACTAATTAACTATTTCTTAATCTTGATTACATTATGCTTTTGTATCGATTATATTCTATTTATTTATTTTTGCTTAACAAATTGCTTAACAAATGATGTTTACACACACACACACACACACACACACACACACACACACACACACACACACACACACACACACACACACACAAAGCAGTATATTTTATTTAGTGCGTAATTATTAAATATTTTTAAACATATCAGTTACGTTACTGTGCATACATTCAACTAAATGAAATATTTTTTGGAAAACATATAATTGATTGATTTTTTATTGGCGAATTATTATTATTACAAATTATTGTTAAAAATTTATTATTTATAAAAAAATCACAAGATATTTGCATGAAGGATATTTATTAGAAACGTATATTTTAAATTTTGGTATCAAATAATTAAAACGTTAATAAATGCAAATGTATTTTCTTGTATTTTTTGATAAATAAATATAAAGCTAAATACATATAATTAGTATATAGAAGTATTATTTACGTGTATTGGAAACGTAACTTTGCGATTCTTTAAGAAGTTCTTCTCGAAGTTAAAAAGTTAAAAATTGAATATACTTTTTTATTTTGAGATGATTCTCTCTTATTGCACAATTAATCATCCGTGTAAGATTTATACTTATGCAAAATGGAAAAGCTATTTTTACAAATGAAAAAATGGATATGTTACAATGAAATTTAATGTTTCCTTCTAGGAAAGTAGAATTTTATACTATTTTATATATTTTTAATTTTATACTAATATCAAATATTATGTTGATGTTTACACATCTTATCATTTTATATACATAATATTGTTTATTAAATTAATTTATTGGAAAAATTATTATTCTTCTGTAACTATCTCTATGAAAATATTTTGTCTATATTACGGAAGATGATGGAATATTCTAATCGTAAAATCGATTGATTTTTATACTAACAATTTATTATTATCAATCACAAATTGTTATTAAAAATCTATTAAAGCTCATAAAAATCTTATAATGTGCTTACTCAAAACAATGCTTATTCAAAACATA